CACGTGACTTAAGAAAGCTTTTTTTTTTAACTTTTGCTGAAATTTTTAAATGCAAAAGCTTTTTTACATAAAAGAATTGTATAAAGTAAATTGAAAAGTAATTCCATTTGACTTTATGTCAAATTCAATTACTTTACAAGTAGTTTTCAATTATTGTATGTCAACTTTTTTCTTCAATGTTCTGATCATGTAATGAGCATAATGACATAAACATTTGATTCAACATAATATAAAACATAATTTTATAATATAAAATTCATATGAAACTTTAATTTTACATAGAAATGCTAAAAAATAGTACTTTTGTTCATACTTTTTTTTCTTCTTAGTGCAGTAATGTGTTATTAGTGTGGTAGTAGTGAAGCAATGTAGTGTAGTATATTAGTTGATGGGAGAGACATAAAGATTTTCAAACATAATTACTATCTTTCATTTTTTGAAGATTCGAGCATTAAATAATATATAATGATGCAATTTTCTTTAAGGAAGGAGTTGTTATCTTAGTTTCAATCTAAATGACAAAGGACAATTAAATCGATTGCCACACTTTTGGCAGCGTGGATCATAGTTTTAACAATATGTCGTCCTATAAATCAATCTGTTTTGATAATCTGTTTCGTATGAGTTTTTGGAATATTTTCTTTGCAAAAGCAAAATAAGATTATTTGTACAGAATCTCAATAAGGTAGAGCGTAATTTTAAGCACAAATTTTTTTATTTATTCCCTCTATTATTGTTATTTTTTTCTTTTAATATTGTTATTTTTTAACAAAAATATTCTTGTAAGAAAAATCTGTATGGGCAGTTATAAAAAAATCTATTGGGACTAAAAACTGGAAGAGTAAACTGAAAAAGTAACTTTAAAAATATTTTTTCGATTTGAATTTTTTCCCGTTTTTTAAATTGTAATTTTTATTTTCTATTCGGAGTTAATACATTTTTTTCTTTCGGGTACCGTTTAATAATTTAAACTTATTTAGCATCTGGAAAAATTTAAAGAGAAATAATGGAAACAACGATTTTTTGATTTGAATTTTTATTTTTCTGAAACTATATGAGGCGCATTCGAATAGTTATGATTTTGTTCTGAATTTTTTAACATGAGAAAATTATTTTAATTTTAGAATAAGTGACATGAACGAACAAAGTGGTCTCAAAAGAACTTAGCAAGTAATTCCAAGGGTTGTTGAGTGACAAAAAGTAGAGAGCGTGGCCTTTAATGTATTTAAAATGAACAATAAAAGACATCTAGGTACAAAAATCAGAATATTAAACAAGTCTTAGTGGGAAAGAGTAAAAAAAAAAAGAAAAAAAAAGTGGAAAGTAACTGCTACAGCAGTTTCGAGGGTTGGCGGAGCAGGAGTGGAGACCCCCTTAGTTATAAGAAAATAATTATTCTTAAACTAATTTTAGCTATAAATTATTAGATATAGGCAGGTTCAAAAAATTAAATTTAAAACCTCGATCTAACTGAATTGATACAAATAAATTGGAAAAACCATTCAAAAATTTCAGTCAAAAGATAGAAGCACTCAAAATTAAACTAAATTCAATCTAAAATTAGTTACAAATGTTTAGAGCTGATTGAGATTTGTACTTAAGCTACTATCTAATCGTTATGAATATCTTATTAAATACTGATTTGGTGCATTCAGGTTTTCCTTTAATTGAAAACAATTTGCGAACGGGTTTAATTATTTCGATCGTCATTATTATAATCTGTCAAAACAGCAATTCCAAATTAATCTATATGCAGTGATATGTGATTAAAATAAATTGTTCGAAATCATTTCATATATTTTGCAAAAGTTAATTTCATTTAATCCCAACTTTTATTCGTTGTAATTAGTTTCAATTTAGAGCGATGCAAAATATATATCACGTAGACAACAAGCCAATCTTGAACAAAGACAAAATACTTTATTCACGACACTTAAAATTAAACTAATTCGTGAGCCTCAGATGTAAAATTGCTAAATACACAAAGTAGAACATTACAAAGTGTTTATTGATACTTCGTGGTAGTAAACTGCCTTTGAAAACAGTTTAAGTAGTTTAGATAATAAATGTCAGCCGAATTCTTTTGATCCAATCTTATAGGACGAAAATTATGAAACTTTTCGTGTTCGCAAGAAGCTTATGTAAATGCCTCAAATGAGTTATAATTAAGTTCGAAAACTTTGAATGAGCGTCTTTGAAGCTTAATGAAGTTTGATAAAGACTCTGGATGCAGATTAAATAGCTTCGGAGTATTTTATAGCGTGGGAGTCGGAAAAATTCTTTGCTTTTATTCATTTGGATTAAACTCTGATGTTAGTTATCAAGCACCTACACTGTTAAAAAAATCTGTTAAATGCACAGAAAAAAATTGTGAGCTGGTGTGGCAGTATTAAACTGTTTTGTAGAAAAATTAAGGTATTAAAAAACGGACGCCTGTTTAAATATATAAGTACTGTTATTTTAACAAATAAACCATGTTATTTTAACTTTATTTTAAGAACTCTGTTATGCGTATTAGAGAAAAGAAAACAATATAACGAAGCCATGTCAGCATTGTCGTCAGTTCGAACCGAGAGCAGAATTCGTACGACAAAGTCAACGCTGAGATTTGAACCCGAGTCAAGTCTTAGTGAGGCGAGCGCTCTGTCTCCTGCGCCACACCATCGTTCCGTTATGAAGAAAAATCTTAAACTGTCTTCCTCTTAAAAGTGTCATTTATTAAAGTCATATTTAAGTGTAAAAACGTTTAAAACCATAGTGGCCCACATTTATTAAAATATCTGGTCATTTAAGTTATCGAAAAATTATATCTAAACACAGATAATAATCAGCTAGAATATTAATTCAACAATAAAGTAAATCGCAATTTTATTTATGCGATGTTTAGTACGATAAAATAATTGCTGAAAAGCAAGAGCAAGTATAGAAAATAATCTTAAAATGATTTGAAAAAAAAAAAGAGAAAGTTATCGTACGGTAAACAAAACAGCATGGCAAAAACTAGAATTTGAACTGACAGTTTTAATCTGTTTATGATTAGGGTGAATAAGAGAGAGAAACTTTTTTTTTTTCGAAAAATAGCTTTAAACTATTAAACATATAAAAAAAATCTATTAAAAATAAAAAAATCAGAAAAAAGGGAATTTTTCGCAGCGCGCGGGTACGATAAAAGAAAAAAAAATCTGTATTTATCCTTAAACAGTTTTTTTTTTTGTTAAAAATATGCATGTTTCTTATAGAATTTTCTGTTACTTTTTACAGTGTATTTTTTAACTAATTTATAGTGAAAACAATATGCACATAAAAAAACTTTCGTTTTAGTTTTATTCTTATCTAATCTTTGTAAAATGTTCCTTTTTTATAAACATTTTATTCAAACATATTTCTTTTCTTTTAATGTTTTTTAATTCTACGGGATAAACTTATTATTGGGAAACTTTTTCTCTCAAATTAGTCAAATTTAAGTCTCAAAATTTAATTTATAAGTTAACTTACATAATCGCATAAGTTACCACTAAACTTATTTATGCAGAAAGTTGCAAGATGGAATTTTTTTTATGTGAGGTAGCCTTACATTATTAATTGTTCTGCGATGTCCGCGCAAATCCGCATCTGTAATATATTTATTATCTCACGTTATAAATTTTTCATAACACATCTGTTAAAATCTTGAACTAGTTTTTTTATTTTTATGATTTTATTGATGATATGATTACTGATGTTATGATTTCAACTGATGAAATCATAAGAGAAATACAAAATTGAGAAAAATAGAAAATGCAGTTCTTTTTCTTCCATGTATTTTAAAGTAAAATACATACGAAAATCAACTTAAAAATCCGATACCTTTGTAAAATTTCTAGAAATTAAAGACATTTTATTAGCTTTTGACGTTTACAAAACTAATGAAAAATGTGTCCAATGAAAATTGTTTGAAATTATCAATAAATACACAAAAATGTTTTTTAGATTCTTCCGTTGCAAAAAATAATACCGATTCGTAGGGTTCGCACCAGCAATGGAAAATTAGAGATTCAGTAAGACCACCTAGGTATTCCAGTGGTCTAAAAAATTAATATGATCGACATACGTGTGAAAAATCGAACTTAACAATTATAAAATTCATGCTATGGTACACATCAAAAATTATTTATTGCTATACCATAAAACTAATTCGACCCTATGACTAAGCCTATTTTCAAGACTTGCTAGACGTGAATGAGATGAAACAAAAGTGATTTGAAGTTGTAAAGTTGCCAACGAAAAATAATAGTGAGTAACAAAATTAGACAAGCCACAGTAGCTGAGAGAGAGATACAATTTTTTCTCTCTCGGCTGCTGTGGTATTTCTAGTTTTGTTTCTTACCTTTATTTTTCATTGGCAACTTTCAGTTTTATAATTCAAATCACTTTTGTTTGATCTCAGACACGTCTGGAAAGTCTTGAAAATAGCCGCCAGTTTTTTTGCGCTCGGAAGAAGGGAAATGTTATGTCCAGATTGCAATTTTTTTGAAGCGAATGAAGTTTTCAATGAAGTACTATCTTATCGTTTCAGTTACTTGGAATTATCTATTCAATGAAAGAGTGATACTCGGCAGATATAGGCTGGAGTAGACTAATCGGCAACAAGCGATGAGAATAGATAATCAGATCCAAGTACATGGAAAAGAAATTCATTAGTCGGGCATCCCTAGTTCACATTTGATTTATTTACGAATGCATTTTTGGACCTTATTTTCAACGAAAGACGTTTATTATAGGCGGAAATATGCTTGCTTTAAATATTTGGTTTCAGATCTAAAAAAGAAAAGTACTTATTAAGGCGGTTCAGTTTGACCCTGAAATTATATCATGTGATATTTTATCTGATAATGAAAAAGAATACACAGCAGGATGGAAGTAAAACTGATTATGAAAATGCTGCAAGTCAAAGGGCAACTTTTATATTATTTATTTATCAACGTGTTTATATTATTTATTTATCAACGTTATTCTGTGCTCTTTTCCTTTGAATGTACCAGTTTGATCTGATCGCTGATATCAACTATGGCAGAAAAAATTATTTATCAGAAACTTTTTGCGTTTTTATCTCATTTTAAACCATAATACCATCTAACTTCAGAGATAATTCTACTTCTAAACATTTTCACATTTCAGAGATAATTCACACTAGTCTAATTCATAAATGTAAGTACTCAATTTATATTCTCGTTAACTTTTTATTCGTCTTTTATAATCACGATTTGAATGATAAAGATTTTTGATCGCGTTTAGTCTATTTTAAGAAAGTTTTCACTAAGTCAAAACTATCTGCCAACAGACTAACCTGCTCAGGTTTGCCATATACGAGTGTAAGATATTCATAATATATATCATAGTATTTAAAATTAAAATTTTTCTTTTTTTTATATTTAAAATCAAATATATATTCATACATATATTATAGTATTTAAAAATGAAAATTGTCTTTTCTTAATTAAAATCAAATATGATTCATCTAATCAGTCAGTTGATTCATTTTGATACGAACCATTAGATAAGGAATTCTCGCCCCAATAGAATGTATAAATAGACCACCCAAAAACACAGCTCCCTTCAAAAGTTTATTTGTTATCATAAACTGTATATTAGCTTTGATTTCACATTGAAAATTGTTGCCTTGTTATACTGAATAAGAGGCCGGGCTAAAAAAGAAATGTTCTTTAAAAAGCTTATTTCCTCTAATAATTGGAAAACACTGGAATTTTGTTCTGGAATTTTATTCTTAAAACAATTTTAGATACTTCATATTTTAAAAAAAATATTATAATTAAAGAATTATCTATTTTTCAAAAATTTAGTATTCGAAAATAAATTCAAAAATTTACATTATGAATAAAAAGTTACGCTTGAATTCTAGAAATGCTTATAAAAGCAATTTTGAGGAATTCTTTTGTTAAACATAAATTTTTCATGATGTCTTAGTCAACTTGTTTATAAGTAACAGAATCTGAAATGTGAAAACTTCATATGCTTTAAAAAATTGAGAAGACGGTAATAAAAGTCGACATGTCTCAAGCACTCTAAAATGGCGGAATCTAATCGTACCGCATACTAATTGCCATTTGGCTCTACCAGGGACTAATATAGGAACAGGGACTTATACCTATGGCTCTACAAGCTATTTGTACCAGTCATTGTTGCGCAAGCGCAATAGACACATCAGATCTATCATTTGAAAGGCTTAACTAATTGTAGGTTCTGCGCCATCTATACTATATATATACATATATATATTTTAACTTCTGTCCTTTTTTCTATAAACCGCAAAGAATAGGGGGCGTTGTTTTTATGTTTATTCTATTTCAGTTGTGTCTTGCAATCGTATGTGTTATTTAGTTGTTGGAGTTTTTAATTTCAAGTAAGCTTTCGTTCGTACTTTTGTATGTGACTTGTTTTTATTCTACTGTATATGCTTCTGTATATTAAATTGTACTTTATGTTGTATTCCTCTGTGTTTTTTTTTTGTATATTATGCATTCCAGTCTTTACCTGAACTTTGGCAAAACTTTTGGCGGTACAGAGAAAGCAATTTTTGACTTTTGTCTTGGCTTTCTCGATAGAAAAGGTTTTGAATCCATGACATCCGAAGTTGGCACTGCCTGACGACGTCAGCTTTTGTTGTCATATTTGTTACATTTTTTGCAATTTTTCATTGTCTCATCCATTCCAATTTATACTTTTGAACAGCATTTAATTACTCTTTTATCTTTCTTCTATCACAAGTCGTTCTGGTAGATCATGCGCGGTTAACGATGTTTAGTTTGTTTACGTTTCATATGAACTTCTGATCGCTAAACTTTTGATTCCTTTTTTAATAAAAAAAGAAGCAAACAATGTTCACATTTATAATTTATTTTTTATTAACTTTATAAGCGGTGTTGAACAGCTGACGACCGAAATTTGAGTTTTCGACTATCAATGCTTAACTTCGTAGTCTTGTTATTTTGAACCCAACCAAGGAAACTCCTGGATCAGGAATTGGAACAACTAGACGTGGAGAACTTTTTGATGGAACTAACCTGCATTTGCATATACATGGAGAGAAAATTCCCGAAAACTTTTAACTGTTGGCCCAACGGCAAGACGAATGTAATCCATGGGTAGTCTACCACTAAAGATATTTTACTTCAGAGCTGTAGTCGATGTGAGCTGGGAGCAGAATTCATATCAAACAGCCTAATATATATTTTTTATTATTTTGATAGCCTTTTATTTATTTATTTATTTATTTATTTTTACATCTTTATATTCCTTCTCTTTTTTACATCGGGCAGCGTATTGCTGTAATGCGAATTTCGTGAAGAAGCTAACCACACCGGTGGTGAGATTAGCCTCTTTAAAGCCACCTATTTTTGAGCCACTATATTCGAAAATAGGCTTATCCTCAAAATTCGACAGACGTGAATGAGGAAAACAAAATAAATCCATAACAGAAAACCGAAAATTCTCTACGAAAATTGGAATGAGTGTGAGTGAGCTGTGATTTACAAAAATGATCCTTTTTTTATTCCCAAACTCTATTTTAATTAGGTTTCCTTTTTTTTCTTCAAATTTATAGCACCCAAGTTATTTTTTACACACGAAATAACGATATCAACGCACCCTTCGATTTTTTGAGGACTAACTATTTTAGCAACAACAGCATTTTGTACAATTCGGATGCTTATCATCAGTCAAAATGAAGCATTTCTTTTTAATTCTTTCACTGCTAATAGCGTTTTAAAAGTTTTGTTTCACTAGTTTTTTTGTCCAAACATAATTTCTTTTCATAATGAAAAAGAAATATCAATAGTTTATAAGTATTATATTGATATTTATCTCTCTAAGAAACTTAAATCACTTCTCTTTTTTATCAATTAAAATACAATTATCACATTTGTTCTTTTCCTCTTAGAATTCATAATGGCTGTCGAACCAACAGAGGAATCTTTTGAAGGAACAGACACTTTTATGGTCAGAGGCTTTCCATTTGCCAGATATTTCAAAAAAGAGATCATAGAAGGTATTATGGATTTCATGCCAGACGATGACGACATCATCATAGCCACTTATCCCAAGACAGGCACGACTTGGATGCAGTACATCGTCCTGCAAATACTGACTCGATCGGAGAGCTTTCCGTCTTTCAATGACATGCTGGAAAAAGTCGTTCCATTCCTCGAAATATCTGGTGTTTCAGCAGTTGAAGCAATGACTACAAAACCTCGCGTTTACAAGCACCACTTGCCGTACAACGCTGTCAAGAAAAATCCAAAAACTAAATTAATTTATGTTTATCGTAAACCCGATGATACGCTGGTATCTTTTTACCACATGTGGAAAGGTATGAACGATAAGCTTGATTTTGACGAACACTTTAGCAATTTCGTGAATGGCACCATCGCGTGCGGGCGATATTTCGAACACATTCTGTCCTACTTGGAACACAGGGAAGATGGAAACATTTTGTTTGTTTCGTATGAGGAGTTGCAAATTCACAGGAAGGAAGAAATACTACGTATCGCTAAGTTTTTGGGTGAAGAACATCACGATGCGTTAATCAATGATGAGTCGATTTTGAATAAAATAACTGAAAAAACTAGTTTTGATTACATGAAGAAAAATTTGAACTTTTCTGTGCCCAAAGATCCGAAAGAAGATTTGTTTTCCAAGAAAGACGTTCCTAAAAAGGACGTGAATTTCTTCAGGAAAGGCATCATTGGGGATGGAAAGAACCTTTTGACAAAACTTATTGTTCTTNTATTTATAGGTTTGAGATAAAGACTGGATGTTTTGAGGCAGAATTGGGAACTTTGCTACTGGCTGGTAGCTAGTAGTTGCAATTTTTTCAGTGGCCACTCTGTAAAACATGTGTCCATTTTTTTAAGAATTGAAAATAATAAATGTTTTTGTTAAAAAAAATGTTGATATTAATTATGCAAGGAATTTCCATTGAAGCATTTCTCATTTTAGAGAAAACATCGCAAGGATATCTAAAATGAAGAACAATTAAAAAAAAAACAAGCGTGAATTATAATTTTTAGAAGTATTATGAAATAATCCTAATAAGTCAATATCTATTTAAACGAGACGAAATACGTGACGATAAGGTGATAATTGGCAGACATTTTTCTAATCGCTATTTAGTGATAATTTTGCCGTATACTGGACATGGAGCGGTAATTTTTATTCAATAATCCCAGTTTTCTGTTTGATACCCATATTTCTCTTCTTCCCATATCAAAATAGGTTTGTTGTAACAAAAATTTAAGGGCTTAGCAATAAGTCTAACTAATTAACAATAGTCTAATTTTTTAAATTGCATTTCTGATTGTGGGCAGTAAAGCTGCTTTGACTAGCGTAAAAACGGGGGGGGGGATGTTAAATTTGTATCTCCAATCTGTCAACAACTTACGTATCTGGATTTATCCTGTAAATGCATCAAGTCTTTCAATTATTCTCAGTGCTAGAGGATTGATGAGATATTGTCTATCGAACTAAAGAACTTCTTTCTCCAGTTGAATAGAGCGATGTAAGTGAAAGGTTTTAAGAAGGGGTGGAGGATAAGCATTTAGGGAAGATTTTCACTCAGATCGGCAAGAGAATTCTCTCTTTATAATGACTTTTTTCTTGTTTCTATACCAACAGACAGTCCACCCTCAAGGAGTTCTAGAGTACAGGCTGCAATTCGCAAGCCTCAGATGCAAAATTATTAAATACACAAAATAGAACACTGCAAAATGTTTATTGATACTTCGTGGTAGCAAACTGCCTTTGAAAACAGTTTAAATAGTTTAGATAATAAATGTCAGCCGAATTCTTTTGATCCAATCTTATATGACGAAAATTATGAAACTTTTCGTGTTCGCAAGAAGCTTATGTAAATGCCTTAAATGAGAAATAATTAAGTTCGAAAACTTTGAATAAGCGTCTTTAAAACTTAATGAAGTTTGATAAAGACTCTGGATGCAGATTAAATAGCTTCGAAGTATTTTATAGCGTGGGAGTCGGAAAAATTCTTTGCTTTTATTCATTTGGATTAAACTCTGATGTTTGTTATCAAGTACCTACACTGTTGAAAAAATCTGTTAAATGCACAGAAAAAAACTGTGAGCTGGTGTTACAGTATTAAACTGTTTTGTAGAAAAATTAAGGTATCAAAAAACAGGTGCCTGTTTAAATATATAAGTACTGTTATTTTAACAAATAAACCATGTTATTTTAACTTTATTTTAATAACTCTGTTATGCGTATTAGAGAAAAGAATACAATATAACGAAGCTATGCCAGCATTGTTGTCAGTTCGAACCGAGAGCAGAATTCGTATGACAAAGTCAAGGTCGAGATTTGAACCCGAGTCAAGTCTTAGTGAGGCGAGCGCTCTGTCTCCTGCGCCACACCATCGTTCCGTTATGAAGAAAAATCTTAAACTGTCTTTCTCTTAAAAGTGTCATTTATTAAAGTCCTGCTTAAGTGTAAAAGCGTTAGAAACTATAGTGGCCCACATTTATTAAAATATCTGGCCATTTAAGTTTTTGAAAAATTATATCTAAACACAGATAATAATCAGCTAGGGTATTAATTTAACTATAAAATCAAATCGTAGTTTTATTTATAATGTTCAAAACCATAAAATAATTGCTGAAAAGCAAGAGCAATTATAGAAAATAATCTTAAAATGATTAGAAAAAAGATAAAGTTATCGTACTGTATGCAAAACAATATGGCAAAAACCGGAATTTGAACTGACTGTTTCAATCTGTTTATGGTTAGGGTGAACAACATAGACTTTTTTGTGAAAAATAGCTTTAAACCATTAAATATGTGCGAAAAGTCTATTAAAAAATATTAAAAAAAAAGAGAAAAAAACATGAATTTTTTGCAGCGTGCGGGTACGATTAAAACCGAAAAAATCTGCATTTATCTTTAAACAGTTTTTTTTTCCTATTTAAAATACGCATGTTTTTTTCTGTAAAATTTTCTGTTACTTTTTACAGTGTAAAAGTTTTTTTTGAAAACAAATTAATTGTGAAACTAATATACACATAAAAAAAAATATTATGTTTTAGTTTTATTCTTTTCTAATCTCTGTTCCTTTCTTAATAATCATTTTATTCTGCCATGTCTCTTTTCTTTTAAATGTTCCTTCATGATAAACTTACTATTGGGAAACTTTTTATCTCAGTTATTAGTCAAATTTAAGCCTTAAAAATTAATTTACTAGTTAACTTACATAGTCGCAAAAGTTACTAGATAACTCCTTTATGCAGAAATTTGCAAGATGGAATTTTTATATGAGGAGAATCTTCTCTTTACTGCGATAATTTGTTACATCAAAAGTTTTTACATATAAATGTAAGAGTAATATTATTATTGCGGTGCAATATATAATAATTTTAAAAATCATCATAACCTATCCATGCAGATCATTTAACCCCTATTCGGTTCATTTATTTGCAAATACACTTTATTCTAATTTTGAAGTTTCTGTTTACCGATAACTACTACTTCTCTTTTGACTTTATCTGTTTTACTCATGTGAAAGTTAGTTATAAATCCTCGAGTGTTTGAGTTCTGATGTGAGCTGATGTTCAGATATTATTTGATGCGATTAAAGTAGCTTTAAATACAGCAGATTATTTCTCTAGCAGAATAATTTCAATACTTTTCCACCGGCTAATGATTTCAGCAGAAATTATGTGTTTTATTAATAAATTTCAGAGATCATATTATCACATATATTTTTTATAGGATATGGCATATTACAATTTCGAGAATAGAACATATTTGCTGGATATAATAATAGCACGTATATACTGCATATTATTCATATTTAATATCATCTGTATGTTCTATAGTAGAGTGTTATTTTGTGTGATAGAGTGTTATTTTAAGGGAGGACCCCTCCCTGAGATGGTAAAATATTAACGTTTTCCTTGAATTTTTTTTAAGTAATAGAGACAATGCAGAGACTCCTTGTTTTTTTTAATGTTATTTAGCTACAATTTAAGTCTATTTTAAAAAATTTTCTTTTGCAAAATAATAAAAAATAAGTTGGTGGCAGCTCATTAAAATACTAATATAAGATCGAAATATAAAAATATCAAAAAAATCCTATGCTATTTTCTAAAGAATATAATTTTACGTAATTTAAAATAAAGAACAGCTTGTTTCGTTGTATAGATCATGATAAAAACGTTAGGCTAGGTCAACAAACAGGATTTTGAGAAAAACGCGTTTAAAGTTTTGACTTATGGTAGCGGAAAACGTTAAATTTCATATACATAATGGTCGATTAATGAAATGCCTACATTAAGTTTCGATATACAGTCAACAGAATGGATAAGACACAAAAAGAATGTCGCCCCTCCTAATCCGGCCGAACGGACCTTTCTATCGCCTTGAAAAGGTAAGATTTACTACCTATTTCCTATCAATATTATGAGACTGAGAGCATAAAATAAATATAGTATGCAAAAATTATAAATATATTTTTTGAAAAAAAAAGCTATTTCAAGATATATTAAACTTAAATAAAAATAATAAAATAAGAATACATGCATTTATGTTGCACGTACTATATATTGCATATTGGAATAAATTGATTATATTATTAAATAGCAATATATAAGACTATAACTCTATATATTTGCTAAGAAATATAAATATAAAAATAAATATATTAAAATGAAAGTCTAGTGTAATAAATAAAAGTGTTTACATTTTCTTATTTAGTGAATGAGTATATAAAATAGAAATATTGGCTGAAACTCTAAATGTAAAAAATTATTATTTTATAAAATTAAAAATGGCTTCATCAAGAGACTCTCAATTGATAGAAAAACTAAATAAACTCAATTATAGTCATTGGAGTTTTAAAATGTCTATGCTACTCATTAAAGATGAATTGTATGAAATTGTAACAGATACACCCACAAATCCCATTACAGCAGATAGGAGTAAAAAAGATAAAAAAGCCCGCGCACTAATAAACTTATGCATTGATAATGATCAAATAGTTCACGTCCGTGAAAAACGAACTGCTAAAGAAACATGGGATGTGCCCTGTTACGGTTGGGTATAGAATAAAAATGAAAAAGTTGCAAAAATGAAAAACAATTTAGAAAATAAAAAACTAAAAAAATTAATGGCCGGGTGAAACATAGTTAGTGGTACATTTGCGAAGTTTGGCTAACCCAGAAAAATAATAAATTTTCTTCTTCAAAAATACGTTCCAGAAGATAACAAGTATATTCAAAAAAACATACCTTCTTCTTCAGAGCAGTTCTCTGAGGCAGGATGAAACAAACAGAAAAACAAAACTTTGGTTATTGAAAATGAAGCAGTCCAGTTCCTTTTTTTTGGAAAAAAATCATTGTTGTTTTATTGGAGAAAAAATATATTCAAAAATCATCACATTTGAGGCACGACATCATTTTAGAAATCATCAATGGCACATCCCAAGACTGTGGAACTAGTGATGACTGGAACAGGAGTTTGAAAATGACTGAGAAGGATTTCCATCCCTGACGGTAGTTGGTCAGCGGATCATCATAAAAAAAGCTGGAGATTTATCAGGAAAATTCTTTAGTAGGCATTAATCCAATTTTATCAGGAAAATTCATTAGTAGGCATTAATCCAATTTTATCAGGAAAATTCATTAGTAGGCATTAATTCAATTTATCAGGAAAATTCTTTAGTAAGCATTAATCCAATTTATCAGGAAAATTCATTAGTAGGCATTAATTCAATTTATCAGGAAAATCCTTTAGTAAGCATT